CATTTCTTCTTCTTTTGCATTCTCTTCTGTAGCTTCTGCATAATGAATTTTAATAACTGCAATAACCAAATTAAACCCAAAAAAACCACAAACAAAAATAATAAATAAATAATATAACCAAGTCCATGGATGATAGATTCTCATTGTAAAAAACATTACCCAACTCCAATCATCCATTGTAATTGTTCTCAAAACTTATCCATATGAATAAACTACATTATTAAATGATGTTGGAGGTTTAGGAGTGAAAGATGAAAATTAACATGACATCCCTTCCTCATAACATGAATTTTAATTGCATTATATCCAACCATCACTTTCATCTCCATTATCATATTAACATCTATAATTAAATAAACCTTGAAACATAAATACTCCTGTTATAGCAAAAAATAATGAAAATAATCCAACTATCATTAAAGCTTCTAAAAGAAATCTAAAAGATTATTTCAAAGCTTTTAACATCACTCCTAACCCTGAAAAGATATCTCCTAAATAAAGTAGTAAGGTTATCATTCTTAAGGGAGATATATCTACTATAAAGACATCAGTATAATTAAGATTTAAAACGTAAACCACAACCAAAATGCAATCAAAGATATCTTAGAAATTCTTGAAAAAAGCTCCTTTTGGAATTATTACTCCTGAAGCTATTATTCTGATTGCCAACTCTATCAAAAAACAAACCATAATTCCTTTCTCCATATTTTTAGTTGACAATGGATCTTATTAAGTTTATGAGTAAATGTATAATGTGACATTAAAAATAATAAGAAAGGACATTATAATTTTAAATAGAACACTATTAATTATTCTTTTGCATAGTATTGGAATATATAATGAATAATAAACTATTTATTTTCTTAATTTCAAAAATCGTTTATCATCATTATAAGCCTAACAATATTTATTATATTTTTACATTTATTTCATGATGCAACCTTTCAAATCCATGGAGATCTTTTAGTTTAACGTAATAAGGATCTTCAAATGGATTTCTTTCATAAAGTTTTTCATATTTTTTTTTAATTTTATCATCCTCCTATTAATTGTCAGTATAATCATCTTCTTCACTATCACTTATTTATTAATTGCCTTTGCTTTGAGCTGCTTGCAACTTTGATTATAACGCTCCTTTTTTGCTTCGATGAGACATTTTTAATGATCTATGTGAAGACATACCTTCACTAGCTTAAGACATAAGCATTTAATCACCTCCACATTATTTTTAAACATTTATATCTTGTTTCATTCCCCATCTATGTTCGAAATCAATAAACTAGATTTTTAAAATAGATCTTTCAATTCCATCTGATATATCTAAAGGATTCATGAATTCTTATTCAAATGACATATTAGGTAAAATTAATTTATCCTACACTTAATAAAAAGACGATTGACCTTATTATATTATTCCAATATTATCCTTCAAAATTATTGATTAGTCTAAAGGTTCCTTATTTGATTCTGAATCGCTAGAGAATGATGATGATCCTGGAGATAGATCTTTGTTCATAGAAACGTTCACTTTTTGTTTACTTTTGATTGATGAAACTGAATGTCTGCTTCCAAGCATTCTTAATTTACTTTCTTCTGAAGAGAATAAATTAGAGTTGCTCATTTTTCTGTTTGCTATTTCTCTAGAAATTGAGAAACGTTTCTTAGAGCTTCTGGCTACTTCAACTTGTTTTCTATCATTGATTTTCTGCATTTCTTATAAATAATATAGTTTTTTTAAACAAAAAATTCAGGTTTACAAACTAACCAATATTTAAATTAAAATATAGAAGATGATCATCTAAATTTTAAATCAAAAACTTCATTCTAAAATAAATATTTAGTATTGATATTCTAATTGAATTTATATTAAATCATTTAACAGCAGAACGATTACTTTTATGAATGGTTGTTCTACTGTCTCCTAGTAATTCTGATTCTGTTTCATAAATAATGTCAGTTCTATTTATGTTAGTACTTTTTCTGTTTTAATTCACTTTTGAATCTCTGTTCAACTAAAATTTTTCAGATAATGAATATAATCGATCAGCTAATGATTATATATCATTTTTTAATTTACTCTATTCTGGTTATTAACTTACCTACTATGTGTGACTTTCATTAGATTTACTTCTATATTCATTTTTAATTTAAGCTTGTTTTTAATCTAAATTATTATGATAAAAATACTGTTTTAATCTTGAATTTTCTTAGTAAAATTTTTTGTATCTCTTAAATTTGGTTTCTTTAATTATGGAGACTTATTTTCATTATTTGAAAGTGTGGATAATCTATTAGATGTAGCCTTAAAATAACTTTATTATTATTTTTTTGGTTGTAATAATTTTCCATCTTTTTTTGGAGTTTTCTTATAACTTTTTGTAAAAGTGTCTTCTCTACTTAATATAATATTTATTACTCTTCAATTCTACGAAAATCTTAACTAGCACTGCTTCTATCAGATCTTAAGGTTTCTGTTGGTTATGTAAATAAAGGCATAGCATCAATATTCAACTATTAAAATGAATTTCTTCTTTATTTTTCTATCTAATAATAAAATTAATTATTCAAATTACTTTAATTTCTTATAAACATTATTATATTTGATGTTCTAAATTTTAAAGATCTTCTAAACTAAATTTTCTAAAATTTGGTTATCCTTCATAACATGATAATCTATTTAGTGCATTTTATGATAATTTTTCATATTTCTCATTTTATATTCTTAATTCTTTAATCTATTATTCCATATCTTTATGAGAATTAAAATATGTAAGAATTTATTCATTAGATTTCTATAATCTTTTATGAAGTTCTGTACAATTCTTTTCTAAAAGTATATTTTTATCCATTTCTTATTATAACTAAGAATTTAATTCTTAAGTTTTCTCTAAAAGAGAGACATCAGTTTCATTAAATTGACTTACTGATGGTTTAGTAATTAATTAAATTTCTGATTATTTAAAATTTGTTAATATTTCTGAAAAATTTGATCCTTACAATTATTATTTTAATGAATCTATAATTTTTTATTAATCTTAAATAATCTTTTCATTTTATTTATTTTTTTAAATTAATTAATTTAATTTTTATTAATTATTAGAATATGAAGCATCAAAATTGACATTCTATTCAATTTTAGATTCAACTAATTTAGCACTCATACCAAATCTTAAAGTAGATTATGTTTGATCATATTAACTCAATCCAGGATTAATACTTAATAAGATTAAGGTTTTGAAATTTCCTGTTAGAGAAGATCTAGAGAATATCATAATAAATTAGTTACTTTAATAATTTAGTTAAAGTTGAATTACGATAAGGAATATGTTGAGGTGGCACTTTTTATGTTTTTAATGCAATAACTCTTGTTAAAAAGAATAAACTCTTATTAATAGCAGAACTTTCTTTATTTCTGTCTTTTCTATTAGAATTTTTTGTTATATCATCTGAAATAGGACTGGATGATATTTTTTCACTTCCTGCTAAATCAATGAAATTAATGCATGCTTCTGTAGAAAAAGTAAAATTTTCATCTTCCTCAGATTCATTAGAATAAGCACTTATAAGTACTTTGAAAATTGTATGACTCCTACTACTTTAATGATTTAATATAGTTTCTGCATAATGTCTATTTTTTTCTCCTTTTGAAATACAAGTTATCACATCTTCAATAGAAGTAACATTATATTCTTTGATATTTTTGATTACAAATTCCTAATTTAATTAAAATATAATTTACCTTACGATAATCAGTTCCAAAAATGAGAGGTTCTGATAATTCATTTTCTTCACGTAAAAGATCATAAATAAATTCATTGTAGATTTCATAATAACTACATTTAATTTCAAATTATCTCTTTTCATCCTATTGATATTGAAGTAGCTTATACAATATTTATTTGTTTAAATAGTTCCATCATTGAATAGATTAAAATTCCAACATCGTTATATTATGTATTTGCAAAACTTTCTTTGATTAATTACTAAATGTTGCTATTATTATTTTGTAACATCTCCTAATTCCTTTTGCCTAACATTGTAAATGTTTTGCCTGATCCAGTTTATCCATACATAATGACAGTCCCATTAATACCATCTAAAGATTGCATAATTACTTATTTGACTGATGTTGAAAACAAATAATAATTATCAGCTTATTATCCATAACAATGATTGAATTCATAAATTAAACTATTGACTACTTTTTTTTAAGCAATTAAATCCTTCAAACAAATTTTATTAAGTTAAATTTTTGAGTCACTGGCATCCCAAGCTATTATTTCATTGTCATTAATTTCTTTTTGATTAAGTGGTCTTATTCTTAAACACACACTAATTTTTTCCATACTAACAGATAATTATAAATATAATAATATCAAAAATTTATAATTACATCACATTATTATGAAAACAACAATCAAATATATGTAATCAATTTATTAATCATAACTCTAAAATATGATGAATAAATAACTATTTTATAATATAATATTAAAAATATTTTACAATTCATAAAAAATCTAAAATGATTATAAATTCTATTTACATATCCATAATATATAAGGAATATATTTTTAATGAAATATAAAATCTAAAAATTTATGATATTCTAAAAATATAAATAAGAGAATTTAATCTTATTATATAAAACGAAGAAGTAAGAAGTAAGAGAAGATATTGTAATGAATCCTTTCATAAAGATAAAATATTCAAAATTAACCTGTTTATAATGAAAAAGTTGACACATTAAGAAATAGGAATTTTATTTTTTTTAAATTATAGAATAATACAAATTTCATTTTTTAAACTTTACACATCAGAAATATAAGATAAATAGAATTCGTAAAGTAGAATCAAAATAGATTGTTGATACCTTATTTATTGATTCATACAGAAATGTTTATATGGGTATCCCAATTATAGATCTTAATTTTAATAGGACATTTAACATCTTTTTACAATTTTAATCTATATTTAATAATATAAAAATTTAACACTTTATGGAAACAAGTTAGTTTAGATAAAAAGGGTCTAATTCTAAGGTGTCTAACTTTGAAAATATTGAGAATCAATATAATAAAGTATTTATAAGGTATATATATAGAATCTAATCATGCTTACAACTTAAGTTGAAAGACTTACATAGGCTTTAAAGAAGAAAACAAATGAGATTGAAATACTCTAAAATTAAATTGATACTTAGAAATCAACTCAATATCCATAAGAGATGGAAGAATTGATTACGGTATAATTAATTTAAATTTTAGACAGTTGAAGAATAAACTAAAGAAATTGAAAAATGGGCTTAAAAATATTAAAATTTACAATAATAGAATCAGTAATTGCAATAGAAAAATTAGGAACTGGAATAAATAGTGTAATTACTTAAAACTTAATCTTAATAAGAGATTAAATCAACTGAAAGTGAATATTCATTCCAATTGATTAGGTCTTCCATCTAGACGATTTTATTAATCAGAAATAAGTAGAAATGATAATAAATTTGATCCTGATGAAACAAATTACATTTCATAATCAAAACTATTATCAAAATAAGATGAAATCAATTAATTGAAATTATAATTAGGATAATTAAAATAAGAACTTTTAGAAGAGAAATAAATTCATAGAGAGTTAATTGAAGCAGAAGAAATCAGAGTTAGAGAATAAGAAAGAAAGAATTTAAATTAATATAAATTAGAAACTAAAGAATAATTATTATTATATAAAAATTAAATATAGGCATTATAAGATATGTTAGACAATAAATAATTGGTTTAATAATAAGATAACTTTGAAGAAAAGAATCGTTAACTTAACTTATAAATTTTAGATAAGAATAAAAAAATAGAATTATTGGAAAGTCTCATTACATAAAAAGATTAACAAATAAACTAATTGTAATAATAATTAGAAAAATATCAAAAAGAATAAGTCCAATTAATCAAATAATAATAATCATAAAAATAATTAACACTACCTAATTAATCTTCTACATATAGAATTATATCAACTTAACATTCTTCTTTTGATAATAATTATTCTTCTTTGGTTAACCTTAACAAAACTAATTCTATCTAAGATTAAATTAATCAAACTATGGCTTAAATCAATAGATCTATATAATAAGTTGATCAAATGAAATAAACAAATAGCGTTAATTAAAAACTAATTCAAGAATAATTTAAATACAATAATGTTCCAAATACTTTAAGGAATTCACAAATACCATAAATGCAATCAAATTTTAATATTCCAGATAAGATTAAAACTCTCACCTCATTATCATTATAGTAAAATAGTTAAAATTATAATAAATATATATGAATTTAATAATAATATATAAAAAATTATATTGTAAATGAAGACAAATTATTTAAGAAATTCCTTTGAATAATAATAATAACCATTTTATCAATATTCTAAGAGTTAAATTGTAAACTAAACTTCAAAATAATCATTTATCATTAGTGAAAATTATTAGAGCCAATTGTTATAATTATCAATACAACCAAAATAAAATGAATAACGGAAGGCTTCCTATTAAGATGAAGAAGAAAAAAAATAATAAATGGCTTAAGCTATTCAAGATTAAATTTAAAATAATTAAAACCGAGATGATTCAATTTAAAAGCCTTTTGTGGATTAATATTCATAACCACTTAATGAAGATGTCTAGAAAGACTAAGACATAAAATTAAATACTTTGATGACTAAATTTTTTGATGTAGAAATACCCAATTTGAATAATGTTAGTATAGCTTATTTACTTGAAGAATTAAATAAATGATTGTTTCATATATATATATATAATATATATTTATTTATTGTTAATTTCCCATAAACATATAAAAAATGAGATAGTTGATGACCTTATTTAATATGTTGAATGTATTGTTACTTGATAAATTTCTATTCAAATTTCCAAAAAAAATAGAAAACAATCAATTTCTATTTATAACATTAAAGTTCAGCACATTCCGTTCTTAGTTATAACTGAACTCATCTAATACAATTATATATATTTAATAGATTAGCATAAGTTTATTATGTAATTATTCTCCCTTATTCTTGAAATGGAAATTTCTTATCACAATTTTGCTCAAATCAGTAGTTTTTATCTATATTTGACATCTATATGAGTACAAGTATAATAGTTAATTATTAAATAATTAAATTAGATGGATAGTATAAGCACTTGTTTATTATTATTGAATAAGAAATGTAATAAAGAAAGTTAGTGTACTAAAGATGAGCTTAACAATTCTATAGATTTGTAATTTGACTCAAAAGTTAGTTTACAGGAAAGACAAATTGTGAAATATCTCCATGAAATGGGAATATAAACAAAAACCGATCCTGTATTGAAGGAATAACAATACTGGAATCAAAGAAGGATTGAAAGCAATAAGAAATTGGAAGAATTTTAGAGTTGTTCATAGTTATCATTTAATTCTTGTGTATTAAAATTATTAAACAGAAGAGAATCTTCGTTTGGCAATAAATTTCACAAAAATTAAAGTATTTTGCAAACATCTCTAGCATCATGATTAAAAGAGCAATAGAAATTGATTAATTAAATATTTAATCTATAATGTTCTATGTTAATTTACTTTATAATTTTATATCTTAAATATCTAAATATATATTTGGGTAATTTAATTTAATTGAAAAATATCATATATAAATTTTTTAATAATTTTTATTAATACGAATTTTTGATATATTATTATTATCACATATTGAAGTAATTTTGTTGACTTTTTTTTTGAAGTTTTGTACTTCATATAAAAGTGTTAATTTCCTTATTACGATATTATGATCGTGAATTTAAATATGAAAGGTTATAGATATAAAAATAAATACAATTCATTTTTTATAGGAGAATGATGTAATTCATTAATTAATAATGATACACTTCTATAAGTTAAGCTAGTATTATTTGAGTTTGCATAACATGTATATATTCAATTATAAAACTAGTTTAATAAGATAATAAGATTTATTTACTCTATTTCTTTATTTATTATAAATAATAACAATGAACCTCCATCAAATAAATCAAAATATTTAGATTATATAATTTCCTTTTTTCAATTATAATTTTCTACTACAAATTTCAATTTCCACTTACTAAATGATCAATATTTTATATTTATACAATATCTTAATGATTATTTATTATTATATTAGACAGATTTTGAATTATTTAAACTTAATTTTAATTTAGTAAAAAATTTAATTGATTCATGCTTACAAGATAATAGATAATGAGATATTTAATTATAACCTTTATAATCATAAAGAATCTCTGTAAATGTTAGATTGATGTTCATTATTATAATTATTAAAATATTATCAAAATTAAATTTTAGTCTAAAAGCCAAAGTAACACAATATGAACTAGGCTACTATCAATTAGGCAAATAGGAATTCCCACAATTGTTCATGCAAAAAGTCATAAATACTATAGGCCATAAACATTCCCCCAAGATGTCGGCAAACTTATGATAATCCTAAAATCATCGTTCGGTAATCCTTTGATTATCGACCAAGTTACTGAATGGATATCGGTTGTTATATTATAATGGAATATTCCTTGCAACAAAGTAGCTATCAATAACACCATATCTGATTGCCAATAAATGTAACTCATCTTCAACATTTAACTAATTATACATATTGATTCTAAAATATTAATAAAAATATACATGAAATTTGATAAACTTGTTTCTAGGTATATAAACCAATCATGAATTAGTAAAATGGTTTACTAAATGCTCCAAAAATAGATAATAGCATAATATCTATATATTTATTACTATTGTCTTAATTGAAATATTTGATATATGTTAAATTACTAAAATTATTATTTAGATTTTAATTACCTATAAAATAAAAATCCTTTTAATGTTTAACAAATAAAGTATTTATAAATTTATTCATTTATTTTTGACAATTTAGTAAATAATTTTCTCATGGTTGGTCTATGTACTTTTATTTAAAATGTTTGAATAATTGAAATTTATTCATTTGAATTTTTACTAATAAATTATTTAAATCAATATACTATTCTTCATAACTTAATATAGAATTATTCTAAGCACAATTTTCAATATATTTGACATAAACATCAAATTCATTATCTAAACATTCTTCCATTATAGGAGGAAGACGAGAGCATCTCTTCAAAAATATTATTAATAAACAAATCTCAGAAACACATATAAATCGATAAACAGAATACCCAAATGTAGTACATGTTATTCCGATAAGACTGAACACTATGGTTATCAAGTATCCTACATTTATAGAGATCTTTATCAATTGAAATCTAATCATCTAGAGCATCTGATTCATATATCCATTAATCAATGATTTAATTATGAAAGCAATGATAACAATTATATTTTGATTCATCTCGAAAAATAATATGCAAATCAAAACTATTTACAATATTGAACAATAAAATTAACAACGTTACACATATTTATTTAAAGCTACTAATTGACCAATTGTATAACATGTAAAATACAATAGAAGTATTAATGGACTATCATATACAAAAATAGCAATACAACTATCAAATATATGTATTATTTGTCCCAAGCCTATTTGTATTTCTATCATTTATACAGATTGTAAAGAATAATTTGCGTTAGAAATCACTTTATATAACACCATTAATCTGATCCTGTAAATTTGATAGGTGAATTGAAGCAGTTAATTTATCCTCCAATTCAATAATCATATAATATATTTATATAATTTTCTTATTTAATGAAATATAGAAATATCAAAAATGATATATATGTAATAAACTTTTTAGTTATTGAAAAAAATAGTTTATATAAGATGATCATATTTTCAATATCCTAAAATTATTTTTAAATTAATTAAAATCCAGAAGACAATTAGTGTTATTGTATTTGATTCTCTATATTTCATTTTATTAGAAATGTTTTAAAAATTTAGTCTCTTAATTAAATCTATTATCATTAAATTAAGATATTTTTAATTCATTAATCATTTGCTTTACAATTTATTATTATTAAATTAATTACAATAAAAGATATTTATATCTATTATTCTTTTTTATTCTATATAATTTAATTATTTTTTGTATTTATGTAAAATTATAAATATCAAATTAGATGAATATAAGATTTAAAGTATAAAAAGAAAATTAATACATAAACACTAATTATTAAAAATAGATAGATTAATATATATAAACCACACTAAAAATTATAAATCATGATCCAAATTTAAGTATAAAATATTGAAATTGTAATATCAATTAATTTAAGATTTCTTAGATTAATTATATATTCATTTAGGGATTTGTTAATTTAATCTATAATTAAGTTAATTAAGCAGCTATCCCTTTAATGAATTAATCCATACCTACAACAGGTTGAAATTAAACTTATTAATTTTAAGTTAAGGATTATAAATCATTTCTTAATTTCAAAATATGTTCCTCTATTTTTTGTAATCTATCATCAGATTAAATATTTTATTATTGTTAAGGCAATTGATATTAATGTTCTGTTAATTTAAGTCCTTTCTTTGCAACTTCATATTATTTAACCATTTATTCAGTTTATTAAATCAATTAATCTAATTTTTATAGAGCATCTGATCCTGGTCTATTATTTTCAGCTAATTAAGTTATATTTTTGCTTAAAGTTTGAAGTTATTATGTAGCATTATCAATGAATGCATTAAAATTAGCCAATTTAGTTTAGTCTATGAATTACATGTCATTAAAATATTAAATTACTTTATCAAATATTTAGACAATTCCTTAAGACATTTTAGCTAACTCAACTTAATAAAGTTAACCAATTTAATTCTTTAAATAATCATTTGTTGAATTTTATATTAGTTGTGTACACTTATATAATATAAATTAAATATATACTTCATTTTAAGTTATTTATTGATTTGCCAACAATTTTAAATGAGTACTTATTTTATCATCAATTAATTATTCAAAATAAGTTTAATTAAAATTATCCATTAAAAAGTTTTCACATGTTTATTGATATAATTCTAAATTTTATGTAACTACATTTTCCATTTGAGTTTCTAATTAACATAAATCCTATTTAAATTATAATTCTAATTTATGTAATGCTTATTAATCATTTTACCCTTGTTTATCAATTTCCTTTTTTACTTAAGCTTCAATTAAATCTTTAATATCAAAAATAAATGTAATGTCTTCAATTAAATCTTTTTTAACATCATTACTTATCATTTAAAATTATTGTTATTATTATTAACATTGTTAAACTTTTGGTATCAATTCATTTTCTATAATTTCATTTGCCTTAATTATTGGATCAAATTAATTTAAACTATTATTATTTTAATTAGTATTATTGCTATTGATTTCCCACTTTTATTACTATTATAATTATTGTACATCTTCTTCTTTGATATAAGGAGGTGGAATTAAATGAGATTACTGAATAATACTAGAACCTTACTTTTTTGAAGTATTTTAATCATATAGTTAAAGTAAATTCTCTGGTAAAATAGCCCCTAAGACAAGATCACTATAAAACCAACATAATTCAATTTTATCTTTTTTTTCAGATTATAATCCAAAAATATAAGGTAATTCATGATCTGTAAATTCTAATTCTTAATTTTGAAAATCTTTAAATCCTTATTGAAATTCTATGTATTCTTTTTCAGATAAACATTTATTACCACCATGTAAAAACTTTGTTGTTTATTCAGGTGGTATTATGAATTATATAAATAAAGATGAAGTAGAGCTTTCCTTAACAAATTTTTTGATATGTTTAATTTTACTTTTTTCTTTTTTTTAAATCTAAAATATATGATATTTTATTTACTTAAGATTGATTTAATTATGCTATATAAATTTGTACAGTCATATCTTATGTATGATATAGAATAAAAAGAAAGTTTTGTGTAGAATCAATTTAAAAATCAAATAATTCTATATTTTATTTGCTTCAAATAATGTTAAATATATAAAATACCTTGAATTAAATTTCAATTTCACAGATTCACTAGGCAAGAGACTTGAAGTATGCAAATCTTCTTTATCAAAAGACCAAAAAATTATTCTTTTTTAAGATGTGATAGTAAAAAGAGCTATTTAATTATTAAGTTCAAATAATTAAAATTTTATTGGTTCTGATTCTGTATATTTAAGATTATGTTCATTAATGATTTGTAATGATTTTGAATTGAGAACCTATAATTTAGAATCTTGAGTAAGAATGAAGATATATTTTAAACATTTTGTAATAATCACTAACTTAACTACCTATTTAAGTTATTATTTAATAAATTTATTGTCTAATTGAATAAGATATATTTATGTATTATCTATTAATATTGTTCCTATTTATTAAGAACAATATAATTTAGGTTATTATAATCCTTCTATTTTAAGCTCATTATTTAAAGAAAATTTATATTGATAATCAATTTTGAAAAACTATATTTCCTCCTTATTTTAGATTATTATTAAATAATATGAATGTGCAAAATAAGCAAGTGCAAAATCTGTAATATCTTTATCTGTATTTAGATAATATTTTTCATAGCTATCAATTAATGAGACTAGATAAAGACATTTAGATGATTTTTTGCAAACAAAGAGATAATCCATACTTTTGATTTCTAATGCATGATAATTTTCAATATCAGAGATATCAACAGTTTCTTAATCTATTATTGTGTTTTAATTAGAAGCACATGTGTACCTATTTTTCAAATCAGTATTTACTTGTAATGATTAATATTTGAGGACATATAAATTGATAAATAAATAATATTTAATATATTTATCAATTATAGTAAATAACTTGTAAAAATATTCATATAATATTTACATAAACCACAATATATATAATCATAAATTAATAAGAATTAATTATAATATAGGTATAATATAATAGTAATAATCAGATTAAAAATTTCTCTAATACTTAACTCTAAATCAAAAGCATTTCCATAATTTCAAATTAATTCTTTTGTGCTATTATGTAATTGTTTGAATTACTCTTTTTGCTATTATTTTGTTATTAAATATTAGTTAATTCCTAAGAATTCATAATTTTATGTTAAGATAGACTTTGAGACAAATATTCTTATCCAGCATCAAATAATAAATTATCTGAAAAATTAGATATAGCATTTAGTTTAGCATTAAGAATGTTTTCATTATAAAATAATTCCTTTTATATTTGATTTAAGTCATTGACAATAGATTAAGGTTTTAAATTATCAATTTTATCCACAAGATTTTTGTATTAATTACCAAAATAGAGAGCATCACTTAACAAATGATTCTAAAAATTAATTAATTTAATTACAATAATAACTTAATTTTCATGTAATTCATTTCTTAAATGATTAATTTCATTCTCTTTTATTTATTAAATTTAATTACATTAATTTTAATAATAAGCAAATGTCTCTTATTTTTAATTTTCAAATTATTATTAACATAATTCAATTGTATTCTAATAAATATATAATATTTTTACTTAAAATTATTCCAAATTTGATTTCAATTAAGCATTTTCATCTTCATATTCATGAAATAGATTATTATATTATTCTTTCTCTTCTTAATGAATTATATTATTCTAATTAAGTGATTCCAAAGATTATGATAATTGTTCAATCTATATATTAATAAATTGAAATTTTTACTTCTTCTTATTTTTATTTTAATGTCTATTTTATAGATATAATTTAATCATTCAAATCTTAAATTTAAGCTTATTATTATTAATTTGTATTCTATAATTTAGTGATTTATTCATTTAATTTACTTATTAATTTCTTTTTCTATTCTAATTCCTCTATTTAAAATTGTATTATTTTTTAAGAACCTGATACATTATTCTATTATTATTTTTGTGCTGATTTAAATTTATCACTACTAATATTTGATTCCTTATTACTATGATTCTGTGAATTAGGTGTTCTACAAGTCTCAAAGTTACAACTACTAATTCGTTAATGATGTGATTTATTAATTTATTTATGTGTACTATTAGAATCAAGCTTAAATTTATTTTGAATTTTAGCTAATTGTTTATTTAATGTATCTATTTGTGAACCTGAAAATGATTTTGATTTCACTTCTTCTATTATTTCATATACAATACTAATGATATCTTTAATCATTGATTAGAATTAAGATGTTTAATCATTACTAATTTCTTATTTTTCAATTGTAGGTCGTTAATTTAGTTCCTGTATTAAGAGAAAGATCATATACTTTAGTAATATTAGATCTGTACTTCTATAAAAGTCATAACATGTTTATGCATTATCTAAACAGAAAAGCTTCATTTTAGCAATTATGGCTGCAAATGTATTATGATCATTCTCTTTAGCATATTTTAATAGTTTAATCTTCTTTTCAATTTATCCTAAAACAGGGAAAGTTTATTATGAAATGGTTGAAATTTATGAATATTTTTACAGATGGATGTCAAATACATTTTCATTTTGAGTAAAAGAAGAGCAAGAAGCCTTTTAAATTTGCTTTATCTATCTTTCTGTCCATTGTTCAAAATCATGTTGTTTAACTTGTAAATAAGGAACAGGGGATGATTTCTCAATTAATTAGTTAAATTCTCTACACACAAAAGGTCTAGGTTACAAGGGAGAGATTGAATGTTCACTTTATTTTTTGTTACTTGAGTAAAGATTTTAGAGTTTCTGAAGCAGTTGACTGCTTGATGATGAGTTCATTTATAATTAACAGATATTTATACTAGGTTTATTTAACCTTTAAAAATTAATAAAAACAAAACAATGCTTTTTGGAAACAGACTACTCTTATTTCAAAGGATCAATTCATCATAATAATTATTATTCATAAGTATACATTCATATAATAGATTTTTTTTAATCTATTGAACTTCTTTTGATAACTAATAATCAAATTCAAAAATCAACTTTCTCTTTAAATTTTGATATTATATTTCTATATTAATATGATATCTAACAAATTTTTATGTATATTTAGACATTAGCAAATTACTTTAATTTATATAAGTTAATATTCGAATATTAATTTATACCTAATAGAAATTTAAATTATTATAGACTATTTTGATGATAACAATTTATTTATTAATTGCTTATGTTCTATCTTCTCTTATCATTATATTTATATAATATTTGAATTTAATAATTATTATGGTTTGACAAACATAGATGTAATTTTATTACATAAAATATAAAACACAATACTCAATCTAATATCATTCATTTATTTATGTTTCACCATTTTCTTGTTCTGGCTAATTTACTTATTCTTCTATTACTTTTCTTTGTTCAACTAAACTATTTTGATAAGTTTGAATTGTTTTTTAGTATTAAGACTTTAGAATTTTAAAGAGATTCAATTATTTCAAAGCTGTAAATAGAAGAGCTTAGAATTCTTCAAACTATATAGTTTCAATATATTCTTTTAGTTATGTTAATTATTCTATTATGTATTGTAATAATTCTTGGTTGTTATATTTCTCTCTTAAAACACCAAGTTAACATTTTAATTCATTTAAAGATGTTGTATAAAGACTTGAAATTGGTTATATGACAATTACTCTATAAGTAAATAGAATGGCATTCAAATGTTATTTTAAATTAAGAGTAACATATATCTTAAATTGCTAAACCTTTTAAACATTAAAAGTATGAATCTCATTATTCAATAATGTAAAGAGTCCTTGAGTTAATTCAGTAAGATTATGAGCTAATTGAACAGCTCTTTAATTATAAGTTTACTATGAATTTGTTTCCTTAGTTTCTTTCAAAATAGCCTTTTACAATTTGGTTACATTGCCTTCAATTGAACTAAAGACTTTATTAGCTACATTATCACAAGTATGGAGTAAAAATTATGTGGCGCCATTGTTCTTAGCCAAATCAACTCCTTAATCAAGAGCTTTCTTTGAGTTTTCTCTTAATTAATCAGTAAGTTCTTTTCCCTTTTACTTAAGTTTCTATCCTTGTTCTGCTATGTTTAAATTCTTTTCATATGATTGAACTATCTAGAGACTTCTATTTATGTTGTCATCTACAGTGTCAGTCACTTTTTAAACTAAGGGTTGAGTTATTGTATCTGCATAGACAATGATGTTCTCTACAAATTTAGGTGCTCTATTAATTATAAGTTTTAAACTTACTTCAATGGAAGTTTTTAGTAATTTGTAGTTAATAAAGACTTGGTTCTTGATAAGATGTTTCCAATGTATTTCTATTATTCTGACATGAAATTTAAATTAATAATTGAGTGATCAAGGAATAGAGAGCAACTTAAGAACTCATTTCATTATGATGTAAAATCACTATTTAATACGCATTTGACTTTAAATAATTTCTGATTTACAGTTTGCAATGCAAAATAATTTATTTTAATGACGGTATAATTAATGGAAAACCTTATATTAATAATTACGACATTTTTGTGCTCTTGCACATCAATTCCAACGTCTTATCATTTTTAAATATTAATGATATCTTTGACAATATATAATTTAGATTTTATTAATAAGGTATAATAATTCAATTGAATACTTATGAATATATATATGAAGACTTGGTAAAAAAGAATCTTTCTTATCTAAACTAATATATTTGAAGAAATATATAAATAGTATTCATATATTTATTACTAAATCAATAGATATTCAAATAATATAATTTTCTATTCAAATGTAAATATCAGTTTTCTTTTAAGGTTACTTATTTTCAACAAATCAACTGATAAACTAATATTTAGTGTAAAAATTTTAAAGAATCTCTTTTAAGAAAATCAAAACTTATTCATTAGAGTATATACTAAAATAGCTATAAATCTAATTAGTAAATATTTTAATGTCTCAGTTTTAGATGCTGAACTACACTTATAATTTTGCATTTATCTTCTTTAAGGATTTCTGAACTTCCTAAATAATAATAATAAATTTATTATAATTACTATATAAGAATATTCTCTTCTTTTATTATTCTTAAATCATCTCAATATAATTTAGTTATGAATTAATTGGGCCTTCCTTAGATTCATAAAAGAAATGATTAAATTATAAATTAGAAATTCATTTAAAATGATACGAATTCTATATAAAGCTCCCTTATACAATTTCATATATAATAAAAATGATTCTGTATTAAGAAGTTTTTTGATAAATAAATTTGAGTAATATTTATTTATTCACTTTATTGGATAGTTTATTTAAATGATTTTATCAATTAGAGTTTAATTATGAATATTAGGCTGTAAATTAATATTTTAATTATACTATAAAATATGAACCAATAGTTTATATTATAAAATATTTAATATTAATATGATTAATCATGCTTTAGATCTTATTTAATTTTAGAAATTAGAATTACAAATGAGAATTTGTTTATAATTTAAAAATCTTTGGAGTAGAAAAGATATTAAGTAAATAATAAGAAAGAATGTTAAAATTTTGAAATATATTATTATTCAAAATTAAATAATAATATGGATTAAATATTAAGATAAATATAAACTCTTAGTTTAAATTAGATTAATGTTTAATTTAATACGCATTATCTAATTTACTACATCATTAAATATAAATTTAATAAAATGAATTTTCACTTTTATATAGATTCAAGTAAATTTAAGTGAGTTACCATAAGATTATTATTAAATAATAGGACTAGCCTATTTATTTTTTTTTGAGAATAATATTTCTTGTATAAAGAGTATAAAATTAAAGATTAACAGTAAATTTAATTCTTAGGAGATGTTAGAATTTTACAAATTTTTCTTTAATTTATTTAATTGAAATCGATATTCATTTTGATTTAACTAAATGAGTACTTTGACTTAGTTAATGGAAGTTAGAAGTGAAAAATTGCTCAAAACTTAAGGAGATTCAGATAGTGTCATTCCTGATTCAGATTAAGAAGAAAATTTGCGTAGTCCTTTTCAAAAAGGAACACCAAAGTCAACTATAAAGCCTCCAAAACGTTTAAGGTTTAGCGGAATGAACTAAGTTTGCTATTATTAAAAAGGATCAAAAAGAGATATGTCTCCTTCTCCAACTAGAAATACATCTTTATCCACTCATTCAATACTGAAAAATAAGGATAGCCCAATTTTATTTAAAGAAAATAAATGATATATAATATTTATGTTAACTATGTTTTTCTTAAATTATACATATAGTTGAATTTATGTAGATGAGTTCAATATAAAAAGTATTAATAGATTTCTATAAATATACAAACAGACTTTCTAAAAACAAAAGAAATCAATTAAAATGGAATAAAGAATAACAAATACAAAATAATAAACACAAAATAGTTAACTATTTCTTATCATGACACAGATTTTTTAACAAGCTTTCTATTATTAGGAATATGAGATTGATCTGATTTTTGAAAATTATCATCCTCTTCACTCTAATTGTATAATTTTTAATGAATACCATTTAAGAATTCTTTAATTAAAGAAATAGAGAAGAGGTTTATAATTCTTAACGAAAAGAGTTCTAAAATAAAAGTATATATTTACCTATCTCATAGCTAAAATGCATGAACCTAATTAAACAGGAGTTAAACATTCTTTCAATTATTCCCACATTTAATCAACTTTATTAGCTTCACTTTGAATTAATTTTAATTGATCCTTTATTTTTTAAATTGAACTATATTTTAAGATTAATATTACTCAGATATACTATTTCTAACACTTTATAATTTTGATTTCATTCTTTTAACCTTTACAATTTATTCTGGTTAAATCTATGTTTTTTTGAAGGTCTCTTTCATCCAATCAGTATAATCACTATTTATTATAATAATAAAGTACTCTGGCTATTAAGCAAAGAAATCCTTATCCTTTTCTAAAGAGTAAATCAAATATTTAGTTTAAATTGGCAAACATACTTCAACCATAGAATCAAAATATTGTCTAGCAGCATCATTACGTTCTTAACTATTTGAATTGGTTCTATATCTTAAAGCATCTAAAACCATTGCAATTTCAAAATTGTCTTTATTTTTTAATAAACAAGTTTCTAATTTATCAAATAATTATTATTGTTAATCTAAAAAGGTTTAAAACTACATTTTTTAATAAAAATATACTTTTTCCTAAGTTTTATTGCAAACTTCTGTGTATTTAGATTGATTACGATTAGATTCCTTTAATCTTTCAACTTCATCTTATAATTCTTTGACTTTTGTTTCTAAGAGTTCATAATATATTTTCTTTCTGGCTCTTGAATTTCTAGCTGATTCTCTATTTTTAGCTAATTTTTATTAGACAGGATCCATATTTCCATCTGGACTCATTTGACTAGATTACATTTCATTTGATGATATATCATATTGATCCCTTGGAATAATTGGTGATTTTCTCTATAATTTTTGTTGACTCTTTCTAATTGAATTATATAAATAAATTATACGATAATCTTGGAGAAGATTTTGTTGCTAAATCAATTTTTTTCTATGTTTGTTCAACCAACTGTGTGATTTTGTTAGTATAAATACTTTTGGCTTGATTCACATTAAACAGATTTTTGTTTTCTTATATAATATTTTGATTTACAAGCTACTTTATTTCTGGCTTGAATTTGGAGTTTATTTATTCTCCAGATTCTAAAAAATAAACTTTCCTTTTAAATTACCTATTTTTATATTGAATTCCTATGAAGAAGGTTCGCTATTTCTCATTCCACTATCTTATGATGGACTTT